AACTAATTTAGATGCTTTACCAAATATTTTATTTCACTCATTTCATACTATATTCCTAACCATACCTAAGCTCCTCCCCAAGACCTCCTCTATCCATTCCTCCACCACGCCGCCACCGCCGCCCCACATTTCCGACCACCGGAAAACCACGTCCACCACCGCCTCCTCGACATCCAAGAAAACCGCCTTGTCGCCGCAAGCACATTCGAATTTCGATCGCAACGCTCGCTTTGCCCGCTTGCGATCATCGTCGAACCTGTCGAAAAAGATCCGAGTTTCGATGGTTTTAAGGAACGCTAACGGAGAACTATGTTGTCCCGTTACCGTCGGCTCGCACGTCACATCGCTCGATATCGGACTATAGTTTTCGTTGTCGCCTATGTTGTCAACGTCAGCTATTACATTGAGGTCGAGGTCGAGGTCGAGGACGAGGCCGACACTTTTCTCAACCTCGACTTCATCGATTTTTTCGCACCTCCTCGGACACTTCCACGGCCTAATTGCCGCGTCATCTCGATTCATCTTTCTTTTAAGGTTCGGATTTGAATATTTCGATTTATAGACAATGAGTTTCATCGAAATGACAGTCGATACTACATCGTCATCCCCAAACTTATTACACCACGTGTCATAATCGCCGTCGCCGTATATTGTCAATATAAATATAACACGTGTCCACGTACGACGCTTTCGCCCCTCCAAAATATCGGCGAGAAACCTAAAAAACCCGGGATCAGCCGAATCGACATTTTCGACCAACACGATGAGCTTTCCGACGCTCCGCAACGCCATTTCGAGCGCGGCCGAGTTCTCAGACACCGTAAACGGGCAATTATTCTTCGGGTCCAAACAGAATAAAAAATCCGAAGAACCGAATACCGCCTTCGCTATTACGACGGCTAATCTTTGCTTTCCGACAATATCGTTCCCCCGAATTAACATCCACGTATCTTGTTGATGATCGTAACCGTCCATCAATGGGGTCGCTATCGACGGTATCGACTCGATTTGCCACGAAATGCTCTCTCTAAGCGTCCCGACAATATCCTCTTCGACTCGGTCGCAATCGCATTTGCGATGTGTTCCGAGGGTCAACACTGTATCTGCCGCCTTGTATTTATTAGGACAATGTGAGACGTACGATGAAGAAATGTAGCGACGGCTTCGATTTTCTTCATGAAGTAATATCTCCTGAATTGTATAAACATATTAAAGGGTCTACAAATTTAACTTCAATTCATTGGGTTTGTTTGGTTGTGTTTTTTAACTTTATTTGAAATAATGTGTTAGATCTGCCATTTTCTTTTTTCAGTTAGTATTTTGATGTGATATTTTATACTTTATTAAAAAATTAATAGTATATTTTTAATAAAAATTATGTTGATAAATAATATTGATTTGAATTCAAAATAGTAACAAAATAAAACCCATCAATTAAAGGTTCTTTACTTATATTTTGAATTTATTTTTCATATTGTTTAGAAACTAAATTACATATTTTTTAATAAAAATCTTAACTGTCTCACCAGTTAGATCTAAAAAATCTGAGTATTAAAGTGTTTGTGTTTAGTTTTAAGTGTTATATATAAAAATAAATAAAAAAATAATTCAGTAATACTTCCTCCGTCTCTTAACAATCTATCTATTTTTCTATTTTGTCCGTCCCGTAACAAAGTATTTATTTCTTTTTTTTTAGTAATTGTATTATCTGCCTAACATTACAAATACCCTTCCAATTTACAATATATTACACAAATGTCATTACCTTTATGTAATACAATAGTTAATTTAGTCTTTTTATCTTTATTTCTACTTTATCCTAATATAAAACTAATATTTTTAAAACTTTGTGCAAAAAGCAAATGGATATATAGATATGAGACGGAGGGAGTACAATAAATGAAATGTTTAGTTCTTTTAATTGAATTATTGATTTTATTTTTTTAATAATGTATAATTGTTGTATGTACATATATTAAAATTTGTTAGATTTTTTCACTAATACTACTTAAGAATTATGACTAAACTTGTTCTATTGGTGAACTGAGATATGTAATTTAATTAAGAGTATGTTTGTTTTGTCAAATAGTTTAAAATAATATTATAATTTTTTATTTTAGATAGAAAATTCTGTAAATAATATAAAATAATAATTATTTAATATTATTTTGTTTTAAGAAAAAAGAATAAATCCTAAATATTTTATACCCAAAATATATACCTTGTTGAAAATGGACGTGCTAGAATAGTTGGGGCAACATGGGAGTAGGCCACTTTCGTCTTCTTCCTTGGGAATAATTACTAAACCTTTAGGTTTTAAGATACTGCACAACATTCAGAATTATAAAATTAAGATTTAATATATATTTTTTTATTTGAATTTGAATTTAAATAATATTTTATAAAAATAAATAATATATTTTATTAAAATCATGCAAACGAATATTAAATATAGTAAGTTGAAATACAAACCAAACAAATCCATGAATCGCAAGAAAGATATGTAAGATTTATTTAAAGGAATAATTCTATTTTAAATGAATAATTATAGTAATCATCTGATTTCAAATTATTATTATTATTATTGTTGTTGTTATTATTATTATTATTATTATTATTATTATTATTTAATTTTGATATTATAATTAATAATATAAAGTGTTGATATATATATACACACACGTGTGTTTATATCATAATTTTTTTGGTCTGAGTACCAAACTATTACGCGTTTGTTTGAGTTTTTATTATAATTTTTTTTAGGTATGAATAGTAATTTGAATTTTATATTTAGTGTATGTAAATAATAGTACTCCATCCGTCCCAAAACTATAGTCTTAATTAGGTTGGACACGAGATTTAAAGAATATTAATACTATATTGATAGTTAGTAAAAAATATAGATAAAAGACTTTTTTGGCCCTGCGAATGTATTAGTGTAAAAATCAGTGACAAATGTATAATAAAAATGAAAAAGTATAGATAATTTTATGGTGATATGGTTATTTATGAAAATAAGAGTATTGTTTTGGGACGGACAAAAATGGTAAACAAGACTATTGTATTGAGACGGAGGGAGTATAATTTATAAAAAGTTATAAAAAATAGTAAAGTAAAGAATTTGAAATCAAGTAAACGGTGCTTATATGTCATAATATTAAATGCTTTCTATATTAAAATTACGTTAAGAAATATGTTTTGAAAAATATTTTGGAGTTTTAAGTTGATTAGGAAATATGAAAATAAAAAAAAAAAAGAAAATAGAATAAAAAAAATGTTTGATATAATATAAATAGGTAATGAATATGATATTTTAAATAAAAAATTGGCATTTGATAAGTATTTTTGAAAAGAAATGCTAGACCAATGTTTATTTGCAGGTTTGATTTTTTTGTTTGAATTTTTTTAATAATTAAAATTTAAATTTGAATAATCATTTGATATGATATAAGTTGATATTGTCATACTAATGTGATTTTTAAATACTCCCTCCGTCCCACATAATTTGTCCTTATTTTCTATTTTCGTTCGTCCCACATAATTTGTCCCTATTTTCTACTTTTGCCACGGGTTTTTAGGTGAGTACTATTAAGTATGATAATTTAGAAATTATGTTATGTGATGGAGAGAGAAATATATATTTTATTTTATTTTTATTTGGATGATGTGAGGGGATAAAGTGTAGTGTAGATATTAAGTATAATTAATTATTTCCTATTTTGGAAATATTCCAGAGTGTTTGAGATATATCAAAAAAGAAATGTTTGAGGGAGTATAAATCTTTGCAAATCATTCGAACAAGCACACTCAGTATTTTGAAATATTTTGAACTTTTATAATTGACTATTGAAAATAATTTTTTTATTTTTATTCATTTTAAAAATTTTGTAAATAAATCAATGTTACGAAACCACAATCAAACGTATCCATTAATAGTTTAATGGCTTTGAACTTTATGGGCTTTTGAAGGCTATGGTTAACAATAGAGAATTATTCACAATTTGGGTGCTTTGCCATATAAATAAATATATAATGATATTTAAGTGAGAGTGTTTTAAATAAAATAAATTTTAAATATAAAATATTAAATATGATATATATATTTTTAATGAATATACTTCCTCCGTCCAGTGCAAGGTTGCCGTTTACTTTTTGCATGTAGATTTTTAAATATTAGTATTATAATGAGTTGTAGTGAAAAAAAAATGAAAATGCGCCTATTAGTATTGTGTAATATAAAAGTAATGACATTTGTGTAATATAGCATAAGTTGGAAGGATATATATTATGTTAGGTAGATAGTACAATTACTAAATTAGGAAATGATAACCTTATTTTGGGACGGACAAAATGAAAAATGACAACCTTTCAATGAGACGGTCGGAGTACTATAATTTACAGTATAATTAATACTATAAAAGTAAATTAAAAAAAATGTAATTACAATATATTTTTAGACACGATTAGCGTTATGCTTGAGAAATAAATTTAAGTTAACACAATTTATAACTTCAGGAATGTATATTGATGCCCAATATTTAAGAAAATGACAATTATAATGACGTTAATTATATTTAAATAAAGAGAAATATTTTCATTACTTTTTATTAAAGGATATAAAAAATAATTATTTCGCTAAAGTATATATACTTCAAATCAGAAGCTTGAATTTTATATATAAAATATTAATTATTTACTATTAAATTTCTAATTAGTGAAAATTATGGCATGTGCTCTTAATTTTGTGTTACATTTGTAAATATTAATATAAATACTATATAAAAAATAGCATATTTGTAATCGAAATTTCGTCTCTAAAATTCACATAGCTAACGCAACCAATCTTTAATAGTCACTAATATCATTGCTAACAAAAAAAAAAAAAAAGATTTAATGGCGAAAAATTTATTTTCTTAAAATGAAATGATGTACGCACAACCGGTTCATACGAACGATACCCTTAGGATTTTTCATCAGATGGGTGTTGTGTATAGCTGGCAGCCTAATTCTTATATTATTATTTATATATAAATCATAATTATTTATATGCTTATAATATAATACTCTCCATTTTATATTTATGTAAATTAAAAAATATTTATAATATTAAATAATTATTAAAAAACAAAAATAGATAAATTGTTACCAAATCAAATCACTCCAACAATCCAATTCACGCGCCGCCGTCACCCACCTTGCCCTCCGCCGTCTTTCTTCTTCCTTTTTCTTTCTTTCTTCCTTACTTTCTCCCCCTCTTCTCTTTTTTCTTTCCTTTTCTTCTAAGTTGCGCCGCCGCCGCCGCCCGCTGGAGTATCCGGTGCGGCTTTTTTTAATTTCCCTCTCTTTCTTCATTTCCCTCTGATTGTGCTTCCGTTTACTAGGAAATCGAGTATGTTTTAACATTTTCCTCATCTATTTTTTCATTTTCTTTGCTTCTCCTACCGGTGGTCTCCGGTCGCCGGCGCTTCCGTTTCAGACCTCTTTGCCCAAGTTTTTCCGGTAGCTAGGGTGCACAGAAAATCGCACCAACAAACAAACATGGCCAAGTTTATTCTCTAACACCAGTTTTGCTTGTAGGTTTTGTAAGTCGTTAGTCGAAAATTTTGGGTCAAATACAGTTCGTGAAAGCTCACATTCGAAGTTCCACCATGTTCGCTCAAGTCAGGTATCGGTTGCAACAGAGTAAGAACCAATTTTCAATTTCTTCGATTACTTTCACATTCCCCTTTCAATTACATCTCCAAATCGCTCAATTTCATCTCCTACCTGCATTTCCCCAGCAATTCTCCGTTCGCGCATCGTTGAAAACCCTGGAACTCCGATCTCCAGTACAGGATCGTGCGTTTCCTTATATTCCACTTCCACAAGGATATACAGCGGTCCGATTTCGAGATCACTGCGCAAGCGAATCAACAGAAGAGCTAGATTGGCAGCAAAACCTGTTCTAGACAAAACAGTTTTCCAAAAATGTGTATCTCAGCTGCTGCCTAGGTTCACCCCGGAGGATCTCCACAATGTGATAATCGAACAGGACGATCCATTGGTGTGCTTCAATTGGGCGTCTCAGCAGCACAGATTCAGGCACACCGTGTTCACCTATCACGTCACGATCCAAAAGCTCGGTGCGGCCAAAATGTACAAGGAAATGGACGATATCGTCAATCAGGTTCTAGCTATCCCTAACCTGGGCTCTGAGCCTCTTTTCAATACCATGATATATTACTTCATTGAGGATAGGAAGCTTGTTAGGGCTGTGAATATATACAAGCATATGCGTGCTTCCCGGAATTTAGATTGCCGGCCGTCGATTCGTACCTATAACATATTGTTTGCAGCATTTCTGAGCCGCAGGACGAACAACTATATTAACCGAATGTATATTGAGACAATAAGGTGCCTGTTCAAGCAAATGGTTGATGATGGAGTCGAGCCCGATATTTTTTGTTTGAGTGCTATGATAAAAGGGTATGTGATGTCACTTCGTATGAACGATGTCCTTAGAATTTTTCATCAGATGGAATTGTAAATAGCTGAATAGTCACTTAAGAAAGCAAACTATCTCATCGTTTGCGTTCATTAAATTTTTGTTGTTAGAGCAAGGAGTGCTTAGAGAAAGTTGCGGAAACCATCAAATTTCTATCGGCACGCGGAGACTCTTACATCCTATTACTCACAGGTGGGATTCGTAGTCATCACTTCAATTGTGCTTTACTCTTGTTTCTACATATCGACATTGGATTATACCTTCCTTGAATATGCGGCCTCTTTTTGTGTTTCTTCAAACCATTTTCTTCATTACTTTGTTGTTCCTCGTACACATAAGATTAGACTTTGCGACATAGATGAACTTAAACTAGATTGACGATAGTTTATATCCTATAAAGTGGCATTTTCAACAGGCATGAAATCAATTATTGTTCTTCTATGCTCCAAGTTTAGATAAGGGGTTTTCAGGTATTAGAAGGGAAATAATGGAGCTTAGCCCTCAGTTTTCAATTAATCTAAATTCATCCGATTCTAATTCCATGGATGTGGAAGACTCTATACTTTGTTATGATCACAAGGGATACAATAGTAGCTGTGAGCTCTTGAAATCACGCCCTCAGTCAGTGTAAATCACAAGGATTTTTGGAATACCTTAAGTTCTACTATTGTGACTGCCATGAGAGTGGATGGACTTTTTTGGTATTTGGTGTCTGGCTTGCTGCATTGTTCTATCTATTAGGCAATACGGCAGGCAGCCGATTATTTCTGTATTTCTTTGGAGAAGCTTTCCAGTCTGTTGAAGCTCTCTCCCTCCAACTGTTGCTGGAGTCACTCTGCTTGGTGCTCCTGATGTATTTGCTAGTTTTGCGGCTTTTGTAGGGACTGGAGCCGGGGAGGTTGGGCTCAACAGTGTGCTCGGAGGAGCAGTCTTTGTTACTTGCATCGTTGTTGGGGCTGTTTCACTTTGTGTTGCGCAACAGGACGTCCAGATTGATAACAAGTGTTTTGTAAGGGATATTTTGTTTTTCATCTTTACACTTACGGCCCTTTCATTAATCTTGTTTGTTGGTAAAGTGACTGTGTGGGCTGCTATTGCTTTTGTATCGATTTATGTAGTATATGCCTTTGTCGTTGCTGCTAATGAACTGTTGAGGACCCATACCCAAAGGCTGAAATTGGATGCGTTTACTCCATTGCTTCCAGTTGTAGGAAGTCTGTTTTCCATGGGAAATCAAGAGGATGAGTCCATGTTTAGCTCATTGCTTGAGGTTGAAACCGAGAGTAATGCGCAGTCACATGCTTCGTTGCTGCAGTGGATGTGCGCTACTAATGTGGCAATATGACGGAGACAAGAATCTGTGGAGATGGAATGAGGAAGATACGGAAGCACATCGGCCATTGTTTTCATTTTTGAAGCTATGTTCTCTAATGCACTTGCCATTAACAGTTCCAAGGCGACTCACTGTTCCTGGTCTAAGGTATATGCTGTTGGCTGTGCCTTATGTGCACCAATTCTTCTTGCATTTCTATGGAAAACAATCTTGACAATGGACATCTTGAGCAAGATTGTTTTATTTCAATTTTTGCTCCCAAAGATTTCAAATACGTTTCTAAATATGATGTTGAATTGGCAACATTTGTGTGAGTGAAATTGGATTCATATTCTTGGAGTAATCGTGACTGATTCAATAGAACTTTGAATTTGTGTTTTTGCTTGAATTTGAGTTGCATAGATCTTTCATCTTTAGGGGATTGACTATTCACACATACGAGGAAACAAGAAGCTTTGTAGGCAATGTGATTATTTCCGGTCTTAATTTTGAGGAAAAGATTGATTGCAATTGCCAATTGGTGAGACCAAGATTTTATGGCTTGCTATATTTTATTATCCTTCTGCAGAGAATATTTCGCTTAATTTTAATTACAGTATATATGTATAAGTTTTGATGGATTTATGTTAGATATTTGATGCACCATAATATGTGTTCATGGTCTGTAATTATAGAAACATACATTTGTGGTATGTTATTCTGCGAGGATTGATCATAAATAACTATTTTTTTTTACTCTAATCACGCAGGTGTGGATACATCACGGCTAAGGATGTTCTTGAATTAGTTGAGGAACATATCCTAAAGGGTGAAATCGTTGAGAAGCTTTGGAGGTTTAGCAATTCTCTCTGAATATATATGTTCTCTTCTCCTCCCCTTCTTATCTTACAAATTATATGCATTATTAATTAAATCAGGGGCCAAATGGGTACTACTATTGGCAAATCAAGTGTGGCCTTATTTGATAGCCACAACCCACCAAGTGGACTTGATACAGTTAAAGTTAAATAAAAAAAAGATGCCACCTGGATTGTGGTTATTATATTGAGCATCACTTCAGCTGCTACTATTGCTTATGGCATCTACCGAAGAAGAAGGTGAAGTTTCCTTAATCTCTTTGCCATGCTTACAATTTATAATAAAGAAAGAGCTATAGTAGTACTACTAATAGTTCAAGTGAGTAGTCATGAGTCTTAACTGTTGGTGAAGTTGGTTAATTTCCGTTACTCTTCAAATGTTTGCTGTTGTTTAGCCTCTTGACGTTGATAATGCAGATGCATGCATAAGAAGGATAATATGATATGTTTGTTAGGGAACTTCTAGAAATATCGTTTCATGCCACTTTGTTTGTTATTTTCATGCAAAGACCAATGTTTTAGTGGTTTATTTCAAACGGCCTATTTATGATGAAAGTTATACTTGATGTTTGAATTCATGAAAACATATATTTTGAAACATTAGTCCGCTGGTAGTGAACTTTTTAAGAAACACATATTGCATACCTATTATGAAAGTAGTATATAGGGATTTGTGAATAATGTGTTGCTCTGTAAAATATTGTTTAAATTATGTACGAAGGAAGTGAAATTCTATGTTCTCTAAGTGCCAATTGATTTAAGCTATTATTCACAATCAGGTGTTGCAATTTTAATATTTCAACTTGCTTTGTTAAGTTTCGTCGAAAGGTTTGTTTAAAATTTATTTTATTCTTCGTGGTTCTTTTATTTAGAGATTACTGCCATATACCTAACAATGTGGAATTTTAATTAAATTTACGAAATTTCTGCATGATAGATATTGTTTTGTAAATTTGTTAGACCAATTCATGGTTAATTATCACTAATATATGTCCAGAGATCTTTTTTGATTTAGAATGGAATAAGGTTGATTTTAGACTTGCCCATTCGGTTTCGAACCTTCGGTTTGCCGATTTTTGAACCGACGGTTACGGTTCAAATCGAAATCCGGCACAAACCGAACCGAAATTGTCATCCCACGGTTCGGTTTCGGTTTGTGAATTTTCCAAATCGTAACGGTTTGAACCCGCGGTTTATATTATTTTTTTTTAAAAAAATCTCTCACCACTCACAGGGAGGCTAGGCAAAGAAGAAGAAAAAAAAGAGGAAAGAGGGAGGAGGGAACAGGAAGACCGAAAAGAAAAGAAAAGGAAAACCTGTTGGCGCGGCTGCCGTCTGCTGTCGATGATGATATAGTATGTGTAAATGTATTATTGATTAGGAATTTAGGGTAAATTGTGTATATTAATAATAATGATATTATAATTATGATTAATTTTTATATATATATATTATTAAACTTTTCTAAATATAAAAATAATATTAATCTTAATAAATATCAATAGTTATTAATAATATTAAAAAAATAATACTATTATATATATTTAAGTTTTGTAATTTTTTATCATATCAATATTTTTACATTTATTTTTATGTTCTTTTTTTATTTAAAATTTTATTTATTATTTACTATATTTAATTATTTTTATATTTTTATAATGTAATAATTTAATTATTTATTTATATATATGATTTTTACATAATAAATAAATAATAAATATATCTGAATAAAATTGATATCAAACTTAATAAATTTTAAATTAAATTCAAATTTAGAAAAATAGAAAATAAAAAAGGAAAATATTAAAAATGAATATATATAAACCGGCGGTTCAAACTGTAATCGACGGTTTTTAAATTGAAACCGGCGGTTTATAAATCGTAATCGAAACCGTCAAACCGTAACCAAAACCGTTATTTGGAAGGTTCGGTTTCGATTTGATATTTTGACAAACCGTAACTGGCGGTTTGAACCGTTTTGGCGAGTTTAGTTGATTTCTCTTCCACTTCAACCCCTCGTATAAATGATATGATCTCATGACATTCATTACAGTTACTAACTACTGAATCATGTTTGTTTAATCTTGTATGGGTGCAGATACCGATAGAAAATTTGAAGTCAGAAGTACATCATATGCCATCAATTCTATTTTATTCCTTTTATGGATGTAATTGTAAGTATTTTAACTTTTTTTTTTGTGAAATTTTTATTTTCTACCCCCATTTGAGATATATAATATAAGATTATGTTCCTAAGCAAGAAAGTAGATTGAATGAAGTTTATATAATAATGAGATTCTTAAAACTTTAGTGGATTAAGCTATTGCAATGTGCTAATATGGTGTCTATCGTATTCTAATCATTCACCATTTGCAACTTGGAAATCTACATGTAGGCATCAAATATGCTTCGGTTTTGTAATTTCCATCATGTTAAATGAAGAAGATAGCATTTATTTTCGATTGATAAATTTATGTTTTACTAGGTGCACTACATTTTTATAAAGTTGAAATATATAGTTAATTGCATCAAAGGTCGATTCTTTCACTTCATGTGGTGTAATTTTTTCAAATTTCTGCACCTTAAAATGTCAATTTATCATGCCACGGTTTTTGCTTGATCCTATATATCCATTAGTTTATAGAAAGTTAGAAACATAGTCAAGTTATTGTGCATAGTTTAGTAAGAAATTGTAAAATAACTATAATTATGTGTGCAAATTAGTCAAGGATGAAATTTCGTGATTGATGTCATGAGTAATTTACTTATAGAATTATTTATTGAATTTTCTTGTAAGGAATTGCTTACGAGTTATTACTAACAGAATACTCACGTGTGTCCTAGTTTGAGTACTATTAAATAGTGAATTTGTTGAGTGTTTACGTAGAATGAATGAAAAATTTATAAAGGACACACATATCTTATGTATAAGGTAATACCTATCTTAATTTGTATATGTTATTATAATAATTATTATATACAGTTGAGCCCATATTTACAGAGCGGTTGACAGTTTTTGATCATTGATTTGAACATAAAAGCCACAAGAACAGTTGCCATTTGTACTACAAGTAGCAACATTCTAGTTGAATATGAGCACTACCTATATAGGCTTGCAATATAATTACAATTTTAAAATTCCAGTATTCATGTGTATGTATATGTGTGAATATTAATTTGTTGTCCACTAATTGTTGAACATATTTTCGTAAGGCAGAGGGGTCAAATTTTATTTATAACGATCAAAATAGTTGTAATGTTGTGCTTAATAATTTTCTAACGGGCATTTGTTTCTTTCCCATGAATTATGCTATGTTGGCACATTAAAGATGATATGAATAGATTGTTTGTGAGTTGGTATTAAATAGTCTTAGTTTAAAGAATTTGATAAACTGTATTTTGTAATAATAATGCTTTGGAAATTTCATAATAACAGTTATATAAAAGACCAGTGTAATCATGATTTTTATTTTTTTACTTAATCTCTTACTTCCAGTAGGTATATGTGGAAGCATTGGGAAATGGCTTCTCTAGTGCAGCACCATTGCAATTCGATACAAATGGATTGTTGGAAAAGACTTCAACATATCAACGGATATAAAGGAAAAGGCTTCAGCATATCGGTGGATTCAAATTTTAAGGTATGTTGCTTCCATAATTTGAGAAAGTTGACATCATATTTAGTAAAAAAAGTGTGGCAATTTCAGGCTGATATTACTCATTCCGACACGCAAAAAATCAGTGCATTTTTTGCTAGGGAAAGAGTAATATTTTTTTGGTTTCTCTCGGGTTGTTTTAAAATTCAAGCCCGAAAGGACCGGCCTGATTTTGGATTGGGCTTGAAAACCCAAAACAAGGCATGGCCCGGTTTCAAATTATACCGGGCCAGGCCAGCCCACATTTTAAATATTAAGTTTTAATTAAGTTTTGTATTTTTTTTATTAGAAAATAAGTTATATTAGTCTAAATTGATATAATTAGGAAAAAAATATGTTATTTGATAATTAAAAATTTTTAAAAAAATTAATGCATGCAAGTCCCGGGACGTAAATATGATTCTATTACTATATGCAAGATGCTATAATAAATGCAAAACATAAATGTAAAAGAAAAAGAACGAAATACTCCATATTATGTATTCGGTCGTCCGATCATCCGGCCACTCCGTCTCGTATGCATCTAAAAAGATTTAAAATAAATATTAGTATATATATGCATAGGAAACAATAAAATAATATTAAAATCACTTACCTTGGATTTGAAATCGAGATCGAAGAATCTTTCCGCTTCCTCGAATCTCCCCATAAGCTTTACCTACAAACTAAAAACACTAAAAAAATAAGTTAGTATAAAATATAGAAACAAAATTAATGCATGCATGTCCCGGGACTTAAAAATAAATTAAATGCATAAATGTAAAAAGAAGGGGACGAATTACTCCCTATGATGTATTCGGTCGTCCGATCATCCGGCCACTCCCTCTCGTATGTATCTAAAAAGATTTAAAATAGATATTAGTATATATATGCATAGGAAACAACAAAATAATATTAAAATCACTTACCTTGGATTTGAAATCGAGATCGAACGATCTTGGCGCTTCCTCGAATCTCCCCATAAGCTTTACCTACAAACTAAAAACACTAAAAAAATAAGTTAGTATAAAATATAGAAACAAAATTAATGCATGCATGTCCCGGGACTTAAAAATAAATCTATTTTTATATGCATAATGGTAAAATAAATTAAATGCATAAATGTAAAAATAAGGGGACGAATTACTCCCTATGATGTATTCGGTCATCCGATCATCCGGCCACTCCCTCTCGTATGCATCTAAAAAGATTTAAAATAGATATTAGTATATATTCATAGGAAACAACATAATAATATTAAAATCACTTACCTTGGATTTGAAATCGAGATTGAAAGATCTTTCCGCTTTCTCGAATCTCCCCATAAGCTTTACCTACAAACTAAAAACACTAAAAAAAAGTTAGTATAAAATATAGAAACAAAATTAAATCATGCCTGTCCCGTGACTTAAAAATAAATTAAATGCATAAATGTAAAAAGAAGGGGACAAATTACTCCCTATGATGTATTCGGTCGTCCGATCATCCAGCCACTCTCTCTCGTATACATCTAAAAGGATTTAAAATAGATATTAGTATATATATGCATAGGAAACAACAAAATAATATAAAAATCACTTACCTTGGATTTGAAATCGAAATCGAAAGATCTTTGCGCTTTCTCTAATCTCCCCATAAGCTTTACCTACAAACTAAGAACACTAAAAAAATAAGTTAGTATAAAATATAGAAACAAAATTAATGCATGCATGTCCCGGGACTTAAAAATAAATCTATTTCTATATGCATAATGCTAAAATAAATTAAATGCATAAATGTAAAAAGAAGGGGACGAATTACTCCCTATGGTGTATTCGGTCGTCCGATCATCCGGCTAGTCCCTCTCGTATGCATCTAAAAAGATTTAAAATAGATATTAGTATATATATATGCATAGGAAACAAAAAAATAATATTAAAATCATTTACCTTGGATTTGAAATCGAGATCGAAGTTTCCTTGCGCTTCCTTGAATCTCCGCATAAGCTTTACCTACAAACTAAAAACACTAAAAAAATAAGTTAGTATAAAATAAAGAAACAAAATTAATGCATGCATGTCCCGGGACTTAAAAATACATCTATTTCTATATGCATAATGGTAAAATAAATTAAATGCATAAATGTAAAACGAAGGGGACGAATTACTCCCTATGATGTATTCGGTCATCCGATCATCCGGCCACTCCCTCTCGTATGCATCTAAAAAGATTTAAAATAGATATTAGTATATATATGCATAGGAAACAATAAAATAATATTAAAATCACTTACCTTGGATTTGAAATCAAGATCGAAGGATCTTTGTGCTTCCTCTAATCTCCCCATAAGCTTTACCTACAAACTAAGAACACTAAAAGAATAAGTTAGTAAAAAATATAAAAACAAAATTAATGCATGCATGTCCCGGGACTTAAAAATAAATCTATTTCTAGATGCATAATGCTAAAATAAATTAAATGCATAAATATAAAAAGAAGGGGACAAATTACTCCCTATGATGTATTCGGTCCGTCCGATCATCAGGCCACTCCCTCTCGTATGCATCTAAAAAGATTTAAAAATAATATTAGTATATATATGTTTAGGAAACCATAAACTAATATTAAAATCACTTACCTTAGATTTCAAAT